CAGTAACTAGCATGTAGAAAGTATCCCCCCAAAACTTTGTTCCAGTTCCCCATTGCTTCTCTTTTATGTCCTGTAAAACCTAGCACAGTCAGTATTGCAACACAGAAGGCATTCAATAAACGTTTGATTAATTGATTAGTAGCATAAAGCAAACCAATAACTGGAGGGTCATTACACAAAGTAACAGCATGTGGTCAGAACATATTGATCTAATTTTCAATTATGGACAAAAGGTTGATATTTACAAAGGGAAAACAATCTATTTTAACTAAAGAAGTTTTCAGGACTACAAGCTGCCAGTCTCTCTGAACCCATAACTCAGCCAGGCAGAAGTCTCAGCATAAATTTTCATGCCAGCAATTCATCCTCCACTCTTTCCTACTCAAGTTAACTCCATTCCCAACCTATGTTATATTATTGTCTATAGAAAGTTCACTTCACCCACCAGAACTAGTACAATTCTTGCTACTACTTTAAATCAAACAAAGAGCAAAATTATTCTACAGGAGTTCTTTTCTAAGTTATTTAGAAAGAATGCTGACCACTTCTTTTCCCGAGCAGAATTTTTATCGTATAATTTTGTCTTCTAATAAGACCTTTCCTCCCCTACTAAATTGGGGGAAAGGTAGACAATCACAAATATTAGTGAGGTCATTCAACCAAAACCAAGCTGAGAATAACATCCAGGTCCTAGGAGCAGTCACAAAATCCATGCACCAAGAGTGATGTAGGACATGGTAGCATCCAATGAGATGACAGCTGGGGTAGGGCTCACATGGAGTTTTCAGCAGAACCACTTTCACCTGTGGCCTTTCAGCCTTACTGTCCTTTTCAGTGGCTTCTCCCCATTACTTTGTCACATACTTCGCTTCTCTGGAGGAAAATGTCTCTTGCCACTGCATTCACTTCCCAGCTGATGTTTCACGCTACCAAAACAATGGCAGTCAATAAAAGGTTTGGGACTTTATGAATAGGAACAAGCTCAGAAATGGAACTTTAGTTAGTGACCATAATACACACTCCTGAAACTAATTCTGCTCATGCCTCCCCAGTCCCTGGTGGTGAGCTAGGCACTAGCCCTTTCAGGTTAACCAGCTATATAACTCAAGGCATTATAGAGCTAGACGGGACCCCAGGAAGTCCTGCACCTGGCCTGTGCCCCTACAGCACAAAGGGAAATGTCTGGCTAGTGATGAGTTCCCTATCAGCCTCAGCAGTCTAAAATTCTTGGTGTCAAAGAAGTTTATCTATTTGTTCTAAGCCCCAAGGTGCTTCTCCTGTCTCCTCTGAAGACCAAAAGCAACTAGTCAATGTCTTTTTTCCCAGTGATACATATAACAACAGCTATTAAGTAACCCCTCATTCTCTTCCCCAAGTTAAAAAAACCCAGATCCTTAAGCCTTTCCTTAAAGGGCTTATCATTCATCTCATTAAATATATTGTTGACAGTCTTTTCTGCTCTTTTCGGATTTTCCATGGTCCTTTTTAGCTCATTCAAACACTGAGATGTCAACTGTAAAATAGGGCTGGAGAGTTACTTCCCAGGCCTTGCACGTTTTTCCCAATTTAACACAACCTGGTATCATGCTTACTTAAAAATAACATAATACTCCTTTGGCTAGGATTCTACTGGGACTTCCGGATCCATGTCAACTATGATTGTGCCTCTCCAGGTGATGACTAATGACAGTCAACATAATTAGATCAATCAGGTCAGGGCTAAACCATTGACGATCACTGTCATCACTTCTCAACAAAGTACTCCCTATTCTGGTATAAGGAAAGACCAAGTAACCAAGGGATGTGTGCTGCTCACACCACATTTATGTAAAATACAAAACATAGGATTCTCTAACTTTCAGTCTGAAGAACCATTCTCCTAGTCTATACCTGAAAACTAACGTCTGGGTGACCTCAGCTGTGATCAGGAGGTGGAGCTTGGAACAAATGGAGCAGACATTTAACATGCTGAATATGATCACAAGAAAACAAACTGTTTATTCAGAATAACCTCCTCCCCACCCTGAAAAAAGAAAAAATTTAAAAAAACAGAAAACAACCGTGACCCGTGTGAATAGTTTTTGCATGCGTAGAAGCTCTTCTAACTCTCTTACAAAGTAGCCTCTGAAATAAAATATGTATTAGATGTAAAATACTTAAAAGACAAATTTTAATAACAATAACTCTGGAGAGATATATGTATAAATCAAATTTGATTTTTAAATCAAAGGAAATTCTGAATCTGCTGGCTTGGGGATAGAATAAAACTCGAATTCAGTTCTAATCACATAGAGTGACTTGGGAGATATATGTATAAATCAAATTTGATTTTTAAATCAAAGGAAATTCTGAATCTGCTGGCTTGGTGATAGAATAAAACTCGAATTCAGTTCTAATCACATAGAGTGACTTGGGGTTCTTAGAGAAGAAGGGTAAAAGGAATGTGATGTAATAGACAATTGATCATCAGTAAGAATAAAGTGAAATAAAAACTTATCTCTAAACTATACATGTCTACCCAGAGGATAAAGGGAAGATCTTTCATGTACATGCAGAGGAAAAGGAACTGGATGGGGAAATGTTTCCTACTGAAACTGTATCCTGAATCCCTAACATATGCTGAATAGTAACAAACTTGCTCCACCCAGAGACCAGCCCAGGGACCCGTTCCCACCGCCTAACAATTCTAAGTCAGGATACCACTAGATGCATTCACAGGTTAAGATGAGGATCAGCTGTTACGAAGGATTTGGGTCAAGGCATTCCAACCTCAACTTCGACCTTACCCAGACTGGCAGCCCTCAGGGAAAGCTTCCCCAAAGCCATCAAAATGTACCCATATCTGGTACACAGTCCCATTTGGTTTAGTCCACATAAAGCTCATCTTTGGTGTTTGTTTTTAATTTACTACTGGCATTTAAAAATGGGCAGAACTCACCAAATTTTTTTAATTTTTGGCCTCTCTTGAAAAATCAGAAAACCTGGGAACCCTGAGCCAACATTTTTGCAGGCAGCATCCCTTGAGCTGAGTAGCAACGTCCCCCACTGAAAGCACAGGTGCTGTTTGGTGTGATACACTCCCTACCGCTCCTGCTGTCTGTGACCTGAACCTGAGCACCAAGGTCTGTTCCCATCTCTCTAGCATTGTTATTTTCCTCACGCCTGGCCTGCTTCACTCACCAGAGACACCTGCTCTGTAGGCATCTGAATTTCAACCCCAGAGCTAACCCTTTATAGTAACTGTTTCCAAGTGGATGAGGAAAGTGATTTCTTCTTCCCTTTCTCATTCTCCAGCTCACATGCACACTTTCCCCCTCCTCTTGGTCAGCGACCAACTACAGACATAAAGCACGTGAGTTTTTGGCCAACGACTCCCATCAGACATCCAAGAAGGGGCCTCATGGCCACCATTATGGACATTTGATCTTCTTGGGTCTTCTCTATCCTTAGTTATTTTCATTGATCCTACAGCTCCATGCCAGAACTCTTATCCCTATAAGCAGCCCAAAGACAACATCTACAAAGGATGCCTTAGTCATGAAGAAAGACACCATTTGGGTAGAAAGCATTTGCCCATCAGAATCAAGGTACCCTTTTCTAAGGTGTAAATTAGAGGGAAGATTTCAGGTGCAACCACTCCCCTGACCCCCAAAGAAGATATTTAATTCTCTAGGTGACCTCTGAATTGGGTCTAATGTCTCCAATTTTGAGTCACTATAGGAAGTGGGTGGTGCATAATAAATATGTAAAACTTCTTTTTCACTCCAAGTATCCATAACAGATGAATGAACAAAATGCTTTATACACACAATGAAATATGACTCAGCCCGAAGAAGGAAGTTTCAATGCACACTACATGAATGAACCTTGAAGATATTAAGCTAAATGAAATGTCAGTGACAAAAGGACAAAAACTGTATGATTTCACTTACATGAGGTACTCGGCATGGTCAAATTCACAGGGACAGAAAGTAGAACAGTGGTGGCCAGCGGCTGTGGATGGCAGGAATGGGCAGTTAGTGTTTAAAGGGCACAAAATTTCTGTTGGAGAAGATGAAAAACTTCTAGAGGTGGATGGTGGTGATGGTCACACAACAACGTGAATGTACTTAATGCCACAGAACTGTACACTTAAAAATGGTTAAAAGGGCAAATTTTATGTTATGCATATTTTGCCACAATAGAAAGAAAAAGAAAAAAAAACTCCTTTTTACTGATAGGGAAACTTATAAAATCCCTAATGAAAGTCCTAACATGATGTTCATTCTAAAAGAGAGCGAGCACGCTAGCCGCAGCAGGACAATGCCATGCTCCATCTCCACCTGGCCCAAGGGGAGCTGCCCAGGCTCAGAGGGCGAGAGCTGGCCTGACATGCTGACGTGGTCTACCTGACCTAGAGGACCCATCAGGAAGAGTGCGCACCTTCCCACACGAGGAAAAGCCCACCTTTGGGGGCACATCTTACAGCCGCACCAACCAGCACCTTGGGGAGGTTACACCAACAGCCTTCCAGACAATGGAAACTACTTCCGGTCTTTTTCCATGCACACATTAAATCTCGCATTTTGGTGCAAAACTTCTATTCTTGGATTGGGTGTGACAACAACACTAAACAGGTATATTAGCTCTGTACATGTAACCAGGCTTTCAACAGGTCTATTGTGGCCATGAAGAGGAGGATGGTGGTGGTAGGGGCAGTGAGTGGGCTCAGAGAGCAGATGCTGCCACCAACCCTGGCTGCTGTTCACTTTCCATGCCAACACCTGCCAACCAAGCTAGTTGCAACTGCTGTTCTAGACAGTGCTTCTATCCCCGTACTGGCCAGCCACCAAAAAAAGGAAAAATAGATGGTGCTTCTAAACGAAACATTAAGGTTCAACAAATCTTGGGCATGCAAGTGGGCAGAATCTTTTCAGGGGTCCCTTCCACATGCTGGTGTGAAAGTCAAATCATGTAGGATGAGGATGGTTGGTCAAGCAAATTTTACAGAGATGCTATGAGAGCATTGGAAACAGACTTTTATTAAACAGAAACTTACACAAACGTGATACAAACCCTACATTATGCACAGCTTTATCACAATGCTACATGTGTTGTAACTTGTGGGAGTTGGTTGGAGAGCAGATTATTATTATCATTATTAGCATTTTGACAAGGGACGTTTTCTATCAGAAAACGTCACAGAAAAGGGCTACAAAAATGATACAAAGACAGTCTTGGGGGTCCCCCTCCCCCCACCCTCGGATTGGCCTTGAATGGGAAACCTGAAAAGTCTGGCAGGGAGTCTGCGACCACCCACCTTCCCCTCTTAGAGCAAAAGGGATTCTCAGTAACACCCTGACTCAGGACTTTGCTGACAGGAACATCCAGCATTTGATCGTACATGTACTATTGTGATTCTGACAATAAGAGGCCGGCCCAGTGGAGAGCCGGGGGCAGGTGGCCTAGCCAGTCCACCCAGCTCCTTCCCTGGGCCACAGACTCGATGCTGAGCTACATTTCACAGGCCTTCAGGCTCACTTCCACCAGCATGGCCATAAAAGGACGTGTTCAAACAGTCTCCTTCCTCCTTGACCCCCACCAGCAACTGATCTGAGGTTTGCATCATTCACATTGGCCTTCCTAGCCCTTGGGGACAGCTCTAGGAACCCAGCCCCCAAAGCCAGCTCAGCAGAAGGCTCCCTTAACCAGCGTCCTCTAGAAGCTGTTAGGTGACTGAATGAATAGTGTCTCAGCTGATGCTTACTTTTTGCTGTTTTTTTTTTTTCCTTCATTGCATTATTTTAAACAAAGCTGTCTGTGTCCAAGTCTGTTGAACTTGAGGAGATACATTCAGTCCCTAGATGGAATTCCTTTCTGAACTCGGCCTCATGGGACATGATACCCCAGAGGCAGACTGCTTCCTGACATTCAGACAAATGGGACTTGCCTGAGGTGAGGGGGCCATGGGGGTAGGGGTGGGGAGACTGCTGATTTGTGACTAATTCATTTCAGTCGAGTCTTAACACATAATCATTTAACGTCACCAACACTGTCAATAGACTTTTGAAGAAGGGAAAATAAAAGCTGATCACTCCTCACTTACCACATCCAACTCGCAGAAATAAAAATACCTAAAGCACATACATGAATGGCTTTTGTAAAAGCCTGAGAGAGCAGAGTTGATCTTTATTTTCTTATTAAAAATGTGGGGTATTTTTCCTTAGAGTTAATATGCAGTCTTTATTTTACATTAGGTAACTCTTTCGATTTCACGTCTTCACAAAATTGCTTTTAAATTCTGAAGTAGAAGGAACTTTAAACAAAAATACTGTGCAATGTCAGCACTTTTTTCTTTTAAATATTGAAATAAATAAAATAGTTAACTCTTTTTTTTTTTTTTTGTCAGTTTGTTTGTGTTCAGTTATTTCTATTGTAGAGCAATTCCAGTCTGACCTGGGTACTTTCTCACAGACACTTAAAGAAAATGTAATGAAGAATTTCAAAAAAGGAAAAAAAAAAAAATCTTCTTATTGCACAAACTTAGGCCATTCCCAAGACTTCTCTGAGCTGAGCTGAGTTGCGCCAGAGGATTTTCCACAATCCAGGCTCCTGTGTTGGCTGAAACACACGCACAGGAGGGGGCCGGGCAAGGGAGGAGGAGGAGGAGGAGCAGGAGGTGCCAATCATCTGCCAATCATCGTGGCTTCTTTTCACCTTCTTCAGAAATGGCTTGCTTGAAGGATGCTGGAGTCCCCAGGTCATAGAGTTGACTGCAGAGGGAAAGGCAATGAAAGATAAAACAAAAAAACAACTGCACGAAACAACTACCTAAAAATAGAAAGATTAAAATTAAGGGGGTGACAGAAATGAAATGAATTGAAAAAAAAAAAAGAAGAAGAACGAAATAAAAACCCACCAACTAATTGCCAAGCTAATGAGGCTACGGTACAGTGAAAACCAGGCTAGTGTCTCCGGTGTCTTGAACTTCAGCAGCACGAAATCCTCCAGGAACAGGGCAGGTCTATGGCTGCTGGACAACTGAACAGCACAAGAAACAGAGAGAACACAGCCGGATTTTCAGTTCCTAGGTGGTGCAGCAGCAAAACTGGGTGATAGCTAAATCTTTTTTTATTCTGCTCCACTTGGAAACCAAGCAAACTGAATCTTTTCCCATTTAAAATACTTCAGAAAAGATTATTATGATGCAATCTGTCTGCCTGTCACCCAAATGGGAATGAGTAGTTCTAGGAGGGGTCTTCAAAGAGTTCATGGAAAGATTCGTATTATCTTCCAATTCCATTTATTCATGAACTTTTTGAAGTACCCTCATATGGTACAGAACCAGTTGCAGCTACAGAAAGCTCCAACTGATGCCCCATTTGACCTAAGGCCAAAAGGATTCTGCTTCCCATGCACACCCTCGCCTCCAACGCTGCTCCAAGTGATTCGAAGGCGTAAGAACTACTTAGGGAGAGAACCAAGCCCAGAGATCCATTCCAGTCCTCCACTAACTGGTGGCAGTTCAAACCAGGTGGGTCCATTAGCATGGATGGGTACTGACCAGGCACAGATTTGCTTTTAGCTGAAACGAAATCTGCTAAGTTCTTTTGATCTTTGGAATGGAGCAGTCAATACAAAGGAGTAAGCAATAAAAGCTTAGTGTTATCACATTTCATCCTAGAAGCAGTTCCTGGCAGCCAAGATGGGGACCCCAACAGCACCCAGATCACATTGAGCTGAGCGGTGAGAGAGAAAGGAAAGAGAAGAGGAGCCTAAATGGAAAATGGCCAAAACAGCAGAGAAAGAAGTTTGAAACCAAAGAGCAGCTCAGCCTCTTCCAAGTTGAAACTCCCCTCCTCTGACCCATCTCTCCTTCCAGTCCCCAAGGCCTCACTCGCTGGCCAGGTGTACGGCTAGATGCACTTCCGAAGCTGAGACTGCATCCGTCTACTTATGGTTTCAAAGGCAGGCCGAGAAGGGCTCCCTTCCATCCCCACTAAGTCCTCCCTCCACCCTTGTCCCTGCTCCTGTCCCCTCCACCCCATCCCACCCATCTGCCTCACCTCTCTGACCTGCTTTCCTGGTGCCCTTCCCTTCTCTGGCTTCTCTCCCCTGCCCCATGCTCCTCTCCTCTTTATTGACCTGGGAGGCCTTTCTTCTGACCCCCCCACAGAGTGCCTGCCAGTTATTCTCTGTTGGGCATCCCTCCTGCCAGGAGTCTTTCTGTCCCTCTCCCAAGTCAGATGTCACCTGCCACTCTTTTAGCAAGTCAGTCTCATAACCCCATGCCCTTTCAGTTTCCTCAAATTTCTGCCCTTGACCCCCCAACACACACTTACACACACACACTAACTTTTCTTCTTCTGCCTTATTTAAGCACCTAGAAAGTAGCTAATGTCCAACTTTGCACTTTCAATGTCCACTTTCTCTTTCGTTTCCTCTGGCTAGGCCACCCGCATACCACAGAAAATGTCCATCTGTGTTCTCAGTCTCCTGCTCTCAATCCCTGCACGAAGCCTTAGCGTCCCATCCCTCCACACACATCCCTGTCCTCCCTTCCTCATTCTCGCTCCTTCATCTCTCACCACCACTTCACTGCCTCCCGCCTCTAATCCACCCCCTCAGACTTGACCAGCAGATGCTGTGTCCAGAGATGACTTCTCCAACCTTTCCATCAACAATATTTATTGAGTACCCACTATGTATAGAATGAGATTTAGTAACAAGTTCCACTAATTAGCTCAGAAACACTGTCAGTTCTCAGTTTATTTCAACAGATAATTATGGCACAATGATGCTGGGCACTGTCCAAGGGACATTAGTCACATCACTTCTGCCCTCAGAGAATACACCATCTTTTTGAGGAGAAAGACTACAGACAATCATAATGTACTGTGATAAGCACCACTCGAGTAGCAGGAACAAAATGATACAGAACAACGTGTAAGCATGTTTTCATATTATGGTTATTGCCATTTTGAATGGATTAGGTTGTGATTCCCAGCTTTTCTTTTTGCTCAACTCTATCTCCATTCTCTCTGACAATATTCTTGCCTACAAACTAAGTAGCAATAGTTAGGCTAGAGCTCTTTGTCAATCTGGATGGCTTCCTCTAAGAAAATTTCATTGTCTACCTTGATCCACAGCAAAAGTATATACATGCTACTCCATGACAACTCATAAACGTTTTTAACTATTTGTGATTATGTAGTCTGACCAACTAGATTGCAAATAAACACATTACTCAATAAATCCATTGGCTGCATGTTTAATTAATTTCATCCTACCCTTCACAGTGCTGAACAGTCATATGCATACTGCTATTACCCAGTCCTTAGTCACCAAATGAACAAAGGTATATCTGAATGAAAATATCATCCAAAGTCTATAAACACACTAGCCTGAAACCTCAGCTATCAGGCCAAATGTCTGAATTACCAGTAATGAGATAAATCAATCATGTGCCTCTTGACATAATGCACTGAGAAGGATATAACATCATTTCTGTGGTATTCTTACCAAAAATGTACGACTTCATTTTAATCACTAGAAAATAGCACACAAACCCAAAGTGAACAGCTTTCTATGAAATGAATAGCCAATACTCTTCAAAAGTATCAAGGTTGCAAAAAACAAAGCTTGTGGAAGTAACTATTCCAGAATAAAGGACTTTCAGAGGACATGACAACTAAATGCAACATGTGAGACTGGATTGGATCTTGGACCAGAAAAAGCATATCAGTGAGACACCCGGCAGGATCCATAGGTTATAGTATGGTGTCGATGTCAATTTCCTGGTTGTGATCACTGTACTGTGGTTATTTGGAGAATCTGGGTAAAGGGTATATAGGAATTATTCGTGTTTTCTTGGTAAGTGTGAAATTATTTCAAAATTAATTTTTTTTTAAAAAGTCTTAGTCATTAGTTGAGTTTCAGTGTTAAGTTACTTTAAAAATCTAATTGTCAATGTGTTTTAGCTGATAATTCAGTTCTGATAGGAATCTTCCATCATTTTTGGTTATTTTGTAAATCAATCAAGCAGAATGGCTTTTCCTATATGTTATTTTGAGTAGATGGCCAGAAATCACCTTTATTAACCATAACAGTATCAAATAAATCAGTGTTTTAGTGTTAGCACTTATGCATATGAACAAAACAGAGCCCAATGTGTTCACTCTCTGCTACCTTACCATCCCCCATCACCACCAAAACATTGATGATTTAGGAAGCTCAAACTTAGTTCCTTGAGAAAGTCCATGATCATTTAAATATAGCTACTTCTCAGCAGGATTCCAATGTATAATAAATAGGTTGGGTTTTTTGTTATTTTGTTTTTGTTTTACAACATCAAATACTTCCTCTTAATATACTGAGATCTTGAATAAAAGACCTAGAAGCTCTTTACTAATTTTACTTGAGAATTTCAAAATGTGACCTATGGGGAAGTCAGTATAGACTGAGGAAAGAGTATTAGAAGACCCAGACACCATTTCCTGACCCTAGAACTTCAAACCAGTCATCTAACTTGATCAAAACTCAGTTTCCTCATCAGTATAATGGGAATAAATAACATTTATCCTACCTCGCAGGGTTGTTTAAAGAATCACCATGAGATAATATTGGTTACATATTAGGAAAAGAAATATCCATACCCTAGGGATAGAGAAAACTGAGGCAGAGATCTGTGTCAACAACACGTCAACTCTAGAGTTGAGTCTAGAACCAAAACTCTTCATTTCTACTCTAGGCTTCTACTTACCAGATCAAAAATGCTTCACTCAGAAAATACATGACACAAGTAACTTCACTTCCAAAGCTAAACAAAATCCCTTGCAAAAGAATTCCTAATACGTGAGCCTGCTCAAACTTTAAGTACATGTTCAAGATTGTATTCTTCAGATGTAACAGGAAGCTGTAACCATGAAGTGAGAACCTCCAAACAGCCTTCAGTTCTTTCCCCAAGTAATGATCCTGGGTTCCCTCAAGTGCCCTGTAAAGGCAATATCAGGCTGCAGCCCATTAGTTGCATAGAGAGATGCAAAGTACACAGGAGACTTAAAGGGATACTATTGATGGGAACATCATATTTTTTATTAAACCCTTCTCTCTAAAATACCAATAGCAAATTGGATTACTCACTTGAAAGCACCTTTAAAAAATTAAATGCATATTTCTCATTCCCTGTGTTGTTGTGATTATATCTGATCTCTATATAATCTCAGTAACAGAAATAAAGGATTAGATTGTTCTATATAGGAAAAACATCAGACAGACAACAAAATAGTCACGTTTACGTCAAAAGTTCCCCCCTGGGGATTTGAATGTTGTAACAAATTTAGAAAGTTCTATATCTTTGGTTCCCCAAAGTATTTGGGCTGGGACTCAGAAAATTAGGTAACATTTTTGCGCATTTTGGGTGGGACTTCACTGAGCTGAGGACAAAGGAAACTGGTCAGATAGTTTTTATCTTGATGACTCTAATTCCTTTTTTATTTTAAAATTTGAGTAGTGAGGGGCCGGCCCGGTGGCGCACTGGATAGTGCGCCGCTTGGGAAGCGCGGCGGCGCTCCCGTCCGAGGGTTCGGATCCCACATACAGACCGGCTCCCGCTCACTGGCTGAGCGAGGCGCGGGAGCAACACCGAGGCTTGCGATCCCGTTGCCGGTCCCCGGTCCGGTACGGGGGCAACACTGAGGGTTGCGATCCGTTGCTGGACACGGAAAAAAGACAAAAAGACAAAAAAAATAAAAATAAAAATAAAATAAAATAAAATTTGAGTAGTGATACTTATTTAACAAAAGTAACAACAAAAAGATAGTTGTGTTAACTGCTCACTCAACTTCTGTCATTCCTGAAGTCAAAAAAAGATCTTGTCCCTAGTACGCTTTGGGAGGGAATGTCTAGAAATGATGGTTTAGAAGATGAGTTACCTATAATATTGTGCATAGAATCTTAATCAAAATTCTCTTTTACAGGATCTAATTGTTCACTCTTCAGTTGCTGAAATTGCTTTTAATAACCTTACCTTTAAAGGTAAACTTATTATTCATTACAAATACCCTTTTCTTCCCTCGCAACTGAGAAAAAAAAAGCATGTATACACGCACCGGCAGGTATAGGTTCCTTAACTAAGGACTAGGCAAGGAGCAGCACAGGCAGTGGGGAGAGCACAGGTGTTACAATCGGGTTGCCAGGAATCAAAACCTGGTTCCTTACTACCTGTACATTTCTTAATCTTATTACTATGCCTGTTTCCTAATCTGCAAACTGGGGATTAATACAAGCACCTATTCTCATGGGGGTAGTCATGAAGATTAAATGAAATATCCCAAGGAAAGCACTCAGAACAATGCCTTGCACATCAGTATCGACCACTATTATCTAGAGAAAGGGGGACACAACATCAGCTATCAAAGCGGTAGAAAATCCACGAAAGCCAGTTTCCTCCTCCTGTACTTTCTCTCTCAGAGTTTCCTTCCTTTGCCTTAAGACATCTGTCTCCAAAGCAATGCCCGTAACTTAAGCTTTCTTGGTTGATTTTTCTCAACTTGATTTGAACTTCAACATCTTAAAAGTCCCTTCCAGTTCTTTTCTATTTTAAAGATATAGATTCTGAGTCTATACAAAGATGCTTTATTAGTAAGTCATCCCTACGAGTGAGACAAGATGCTCAGGCAGTGAGTGCTAAGGAACGTCCGCAGGCTCACAAAGGCTACACCAACTGAGAAAGGCGAGAACACCTACGACCCCCAACAAGAGAAACTGAGGATCAAGCTACACCAGTAAAAATAAAACAGACAAGCAATACTCATCCTCCGATAAATATTTTCCGGGGGTTTTTCCCTTGTTAGACAGTTCTAAATTGTTGGTTCCCCATTAGAACCCCAGGATAGACTCTGAAATTAGGTGGCCTTTTATAATTGGTTTTAGTTATGAGGATTAAAAAAAAAAAGAACTCAAATTTGAAGGCAAGTTATCATTGAAAATTCTAGGATTATGAACTAGACAGATTTCAAATGATATTAGACTCTGAAATTAGGTGGCCTTTTATAATTGGTTTTAGTTATGAGGATTAAAAAAAAAAAAGAACTCAAATTTGAAGGCAAGTTATCATTGAAAATTCTAGGATTATGAACTAGACAGATTTCAAATGATAGTGTGGATTGATTGAACATATTTTTAGTAATATAGAAGCTCACATTTCATCAATGAAAGCAAGTTGTAATGCGATGAATCCAATATCTGAGTCAAAGGAACAAAGTAAAGAGGAAACAGTGACAGCAAGAGTAGGTCGTATCCCCTTAGCAGAGCCCTACTGGAACCAATTACATGAGCTTATGTACACGTGGAGCATGCGGGCATATTACAACATTGGAGGTTTATGCCATACTTCCTAGGAACAGAGCCACATACAGATTAGGCAAAACATCCCAAAAGCAGGTGGGGTTGTTACCTTCATTCTCTCAAAACTGAGAACAAACGCCCAGGTGAGCACATATACATCTTAAGCATGAGAAAAGTGGAAGCCCTTTCTGGTCTCAGGCTACCAGGAAAGCACAAAGCGTCCATTTTCGGGTTTCTTCACTAGTCCTTGCTTTGGGGGTTGGTTTGTTATCTTAATGAGCAGTCTAATTCATGAGGATCTGCAAGGGCTGGACTGTCAAAGCAGATCTTCACAGACACTTACAAGCAGCATGTTAACTGAACAGCCACTCAGATCTCACAACCCAAGCCAAGTGACACTGCTTATGTCTCTGGACATGTGCTCTCATGGAGGCCACAGACATTGGCCACACTTAGTGGGAGTTCAGAATCTTCAAAACAGCCCAGTTGAGTGTTGTGCCTAATCAGGGATCTTCTTTAATGTGGATTCATCTCATTGACTGCAAAATTGGTAGCTGGAGCAAGGAATACCACCTAGACATTCAGTGCCCTGTGGCTGTACCTCCTTATTCCTACCCAAGTCCACCAGCCAACTCCAACCTCAATTCCCTGGACTCCACTTTCAAGTTAAGCCAAGAAAGGCAGAGTTAGCCAAGCACTTCCCCAGCCATTTTCCCTTATAGTTGGAGCCACAAAGCGCAGAAGCCCACCACTCTCTACACAGAGCCCCTCCCATAGCCCAAGCCAGCCTCAGTTCCCATACCTACACCCAGGCCCACGTGGGTACGCATGCACACACAGGCCACAGAGGGCCAGGCAGAAGACATTCCCACACACAGAAGGGGGTCTAAACCCAGAAAACCAAAAAAACAAGCTGGAGGGTGGGGGAAGAAAAAGAAGGAAAGAAAAAGAAAACTAAAAAATAGAGAGAGAGATGATGGTTTTGCCCTCGTTGTAAGACGGGTCAGCCAACATACCTTTTGACTAGGACCTCGCTGCTGTTCATTCCTGGGACT